AACCCATACAGTAGAATTTGGGACACCACATGCCTCCCACAATTATATGTTAAACCTTGATTTTCTAAATTAGTCTTAATCCAAACCATATATTTATTTCTGTTAAATAGGGTTGTTCATGGAAACGAGAAAGCTAACTTGCTCAACTAACTTGACGACATACATTCACAAGTAGTTTCGACTGTAGCGTCAGCCAGTTGTGATTGAAGAATATGAGGGAGTGTTTGATAGAGTTTTAGAATTATATTTGATAATAGAGTTGTATCTTGAATTTGTGAGTTTTGAAATTATGATTTGAGTGTGGAAAATTTGTTTGGTTATGATTTTTGAAAAGAGTTTTAAATTGAGTTTTTATTGAGTGATGTGACATATGATATTTGATATAAAAACTTACAGCTCATAACCAAATGCACAACCCAAAATTCTATTCAAAGCTCATAAAAAATTTTAAAAAAAAATTCGCAAATATTTTTTTTATAATATAAAAATTAAAAATTAAAAAAAAAGAACCGAGTACTGTTCCGATCAACCAGTCGGATGACTAGTAGGCCCAAATTTTCCCACCTTGAAAAGAGTTTTCAAAACTGAGTGTGGAATTAATTTTTGAAAATGCTAAACAAACACCATACTTAAAAGTGAATGTGAAATTATATTTTAAAAACTCCACCACACGGAGCCTGAATTTTTCCAAGTTTCGATTTAGTTACCAAGTTGAATAAGAGTGCTGCTATTAGCACCTACCAAAATTCTTTAGACCCCCCATTTCTTTGGACCCCAACTCTAAACCCTAAATTTTAATAATATTTTTTTGGACACCCCACTTATTACCAAATCTACCCATATTCATAATATTTTCACAATGAAATGCACACCCACCTAATTTTTCATCCCTCTTCTTCCCTGACTCACTCAATCTTCAGAGTTTGGAGCTTTGGTCCAGTACAGTTCCTCCGACCTCCCCATTGCGTAAGGATGGTAATTCACTCTCATACCCTTCTTCACTACTGTCCCATCTGGCAACACGTCGTTCTTTAAAGCTTGCTTTCCGTCAATGGGGATGGGTGGGTAAAGTCTCATGGTCTCGCTCAGCGACGCTTGTGTGTAAACCATGTCTTTCACTTCTTGGTAGATCGGAGCTTTGGATTTCTCATTGATTTCTTTGAGAATCTCAGTTTCTACATCTGGGTTTTTGGAGACAAGCCAAAAGAACCAGATTAAAGCTTTCATCTAAATGCCCTGAATTCAAGAATCTCGATAGAAGATCAGTAGATTCGAGTGATGATTTTGAATTTGTTCACCACTGTGTAGCCGAAAAAATGTATTTTGCTCAGAACTGTTTTGTTGAACAATAATGATCCTGTCAGCACTGTATGTCCGAACCAAATTTGTTCATCACTGTGTAGCTTGAATCCATTCCAATTCATACTTAAAATAACATGAATTAAATCCATTCAAAATACATAACTTAAATCCATTCAAATTCACTCTTTTCCATTCTAAGTTAGTTTAACAAAGAAAATTACATAACTGACTATCTGCATTAATGTTCGGAACCTATGTATTGAACGAAAGGATTATGTTCAGTACTGTATTACCGAACATAATTCTAATAGTCAGCAAACCAGTACCGAACAGCTCGAACGAAACAAGAACGACTGAAAACGACCGAGAATGTTAATACAAGACAGATAAACTTATTAATGGAACGCCGGTCTCACTAGAATTGTTGTCCTCGTCCTCCATTGCTCTACACAGTAAAATAAGTGATAAAGTATACATTATACTTGAAGCAAGACTTTCAAGTTCAATAGCGTTGATGATGGTGATGAAGATGACACATTCAGGATTTAAGATGATTATGAAAAATAATAGATTTAGGGTTTATATTAGTTAGTTATGAAAAGTAATAGGTTTAGGGTTTACAAACATGGAATACGTATAGTTGGAGTTGGAGGTAGGGGTGGGGGTGGGGATGGGTGTCTAATATTATAGAGTATTAGTTCTTATTGATAGGTGGGTGTTCCATTAATAATGTCTTTTAATGTAATTTTACTTTAGGGTATAATTATAATAAAAAAAAATTATAAAATGGGGGGTTCAAAGAATTTTGGCAGGTGCTAATAGCAGTACTCTTGAATAAAGCCCACAATGTGTACTCAACTTGATTGAAAATTTTACTAAAACTTTTTTTTTTTTGTACATAAAATTAATATTTGAAAATTAATTGTGTGGATTGAGAAAAAAATTAAAAAGAATCAAATCAAATATGATACGAACTAAGTAAATGATGTGTACTAAGATAAAATGTAATTTGTTGCAAATGCAAATAGAATTATCTTTTTTTAGATGTGAAAGTTTAAAAATGATCAATAAGATTTTTAGGTGTAAAAGTTTAAAAATGATCAATAAGAGCCTAAAAAGTGCGGACACGTTTAAAAAGGCGTTGTATATGTGTTTTAGCACTCACTCATTGGGCACTTTTTGACACGTGTCTGACAATTGTCAAAACATATATAAAATAAAATTTATTTAACATTAATTAGTTTCCATAAAATAGTTATATTTACGATAAAATATAAATACATTTCGTCTTGTTAAATTTCATAATTTTAGTTTTTCAATTTACTAATTATCTCATATGTATTATGTAAAATCAATTACTTTATTAATAAATCAAAATTGAAGAATAAATAAAAAATAGAAAAAAAAAAATTGAGTATCAGTGATCCCAATTTTCAATTCACTCCACAAACAAAATTTTGATCCTGCTAGACTGCTAAGTATAACTTTTAAAATAGGAAAAATTAGTCTAGGGTCCCTCCCCTACTTTTTGTAATGGAAGAGATTCACAAAATTATTTTTTGATATCTAAGGTCCCTAAACATATATCAGAGAAATTTGACTCTTTACCCACGATTCCTCTCTCTCTCTCCTACAACCAAATGAACAAAAGTTTCAAGATCTTCCCCTATCCCCAAATCCCACCCCTTCGGCAGCGTCCTCTTCCCAGTCTCTGTTGATCGAGATTGCTTTCTGTACAAGCAGCGGCAACCTAGATGTTGTTGTGGAATTTATGTAATCTAAGATCCATACTCCAGCGAAATAACTCACATGCGATGTAGGTAGGATGTGAGCATCGGCTAGTGTACTATACCCGTCGGAAGCGATCAACAATGGCATTGAAGCAGATGGCTCGTATTTCATCTCCTGCCAAAAATGCCACAACCACCTTAATTTGTTCAGCAAATCAGTGCTGAACAAAACTGTTACAAATCTTATTTGTTTATTTATTTTCTCATTGGAATTTCCATCTTTTGTTAAATCTGAACTTTTTGACTTATGAAAGCTAATTCTAATATCATTTGAATTTGAAATAATCCGACCAAATCAGAGGTCTAATTGATAAAAATATCTTAAATTGTCAATTATAGTTCAAATTTTGAATATATAAGTTCTGGGATTTTGATGAATATGTTTTTATTTTTAGGTGAAAATTTCACTAATTTCAAATTTTCTGTCTTGTTTGGGTATATTTTTTTGTCAAATTCTTTAACAAATTTTAAAACCATTTGCAAGAAGGTCAAAGGAGAACACCTTCCCATCTCCCCGGGCATTGTTGTAACGGTGGATCTCTCCTTTTGCAGTTACTCTTGCCTTGATTGCCCACCGACCTTGATAAGGATTCAAAGCAACAATTGGAATTATTCGTGTTGGTGCTTCATTCTTCATAATTGACCCATGGGCTTTGTAATTTGGAGGCAGTTGGTATGGAGGTTGAACAGTTGGGCGAAAACTCTGCATATTGTTTCCAGCATTTTGGGCAACATTGAGGACTAGTTCAATCCAAACAACCCAGAGAAATTTCAGTTCAAATCATAGAATTTCTCTGGACCAAACCAGAGAAAATTCAATTTAAACCCGAGAATTTCTCTAGACCAATCTAGAAAAATTTCAATTCAAACAAGAAAATTTCTCTTCACCAATCCAGAAAAATTTCAGTTCAAAGCAGAGAGAGAAGATCATTTCATTGAATGAATAAGCAACAATAGCAACCTATATATATATATATATTAAACAAATTTCTCTGAGTTTGTTTTTTTGAAATTTCACTGACTTGTGTCAATAAATTTCACTGGGTTTGACTTACGCCAAAAAGGTGGGTTGGTAAAGTCTATTTGATATCAAAGGGTAGCTTAAAACCCACACAGAAGAACTTCAACCATCTGAAAAATGAATGGGAGATATATTTGGAGGCAACTTCAACGATCTTAAAACCCACACAGAAAAACTTCAACCATCTGAAAAATGAATGGGAGATATATTTGGAGGCAACTTCAACGATCGATCTTTGCCCTGATGAAGATGGTTCTATACCACAACAGCAATTCTCCTTCAGACCTATTAGTGAAATTGAGGTTGCTGAAAATAATTCAATTATAGACAGTATTGGTGTTGTAATATCTGTGAACCCTTCAATCCCTATCTTGAGGAAGAATGGTATGGAAACTCAGAGAAGAATTGTAGCCTTGGTGTGTTACCAACTTTAGTTTAACAATTGCTTGTGGATTTCATATATGATATACCTAAAATCACCAGAGAAATACTATGATTTGCACCATTTGAGAATTGGATGAGACATTTTCAAAACATAAAAAATGAAAAAAAAAAATTAAACAAACCTTTTTGAAATTTCTCTTGATGGAAATTTCTCTGGGTTGAAATTTCTCTAGACAGATTTTTTCTGGAGCAAAATTTCTCTGGATCAAATTGAAGAACCTTAGACATTATAAAAATATTAGATGTTCTTTATACTATAAAATCTTAATACCAGGAACCCTAAAAAAAAACTCCTTTTTAAAATTATCATCAACGTGTCATATTTGTATAATCTTGCAAGTCCGTATATGCGCTTTCCTAGTAAGAGTGTGCAGTCATGAAAATGTGGACAAAATAGTCAAATAGTTATTAGCATTTACATTGCTTATCTGCCCAACCAAAAATTAAATAAGAAAAGGATCTGCCAAGAATTATGACCACCCCCACAGCGTCCAAAAAAAAATGCAAATGAACATAAAAAGAGTTCCACTTCCACACCATTATTAGTATTATTAGTTGCAAAACTCAGTCATGAAAACAATTTTAAGAGAACTTGAAATTCAAAACTCAAAAGGTGCAGCAGTTGAAATCCTTTTATCAAAAAAGGTAAGGCTGAAGGGGAAAAGAAAAATTAAAAAATGACCCAATGCATCAAATCATCTCAATCTACTTCACAATGACAATCTTAATTATAGATGCAGTCCCAACTCGGTGCAAAGCCACGACGGCATCTCCATCCTTACAAAGTCCTTTGGCCTTGGCATGTTGTAGTGCAAACTCCAATGCTTCTTCTGTGGATTCTGCATGTGAAGCCCTAGCAGACCCTGCAGACAAAACTGGAACCAAACCCCTAAATATAAGGCTATGCCTTGCCGGAGATTCATCACTGCATGACCAGTCAAATGAATCAGTCTTAATCTCTGGGACAACCACAGACAATATTGGCATCCCTGGCCTGTACTTAGCAACCAGTTTTGCAGTACTTCCTCCTCTGGTTAGGACCAATATCATAGTTGCTTTCGCTGAGTTGGCTGTTCGGACTGCAGAAGAGGCCAAGCTCTCTAATGGGCTCATAGGCACCGGTGCATTTGCTATAACCCTTTTGAAAACATCCCCATAATCAATTGTGCTCTCGGCTTCTACACAGATTTTGGCCATAGTCCTAACTGCAAGTTCTGGATAAGCTCCAGCAGCTGTTTCACCACTCAGCATTACGCAGTCTGTGCCATCAAGAACTGCATTGGCAACATCAGTAGCCTCTGCTCGAGTTGGCCTTGGAGATTTGATCATCGACTCCAACATCTGGGTAGCTGTTACAACAGGCTTTCCTTGGATGTTGCACTTGTAAACCATCACTTTCTGTGCCAAAAATATCTTTTCAATTGGAATTTCCATTCCCAGGTCACCACGTGCAACCATAAATGCATCTGAATTAGCAAGGATTTCATCAAAATTTGCCACCCCTTCTTGATTTTCAACCTGGTAGAGACAACCAAAAAAAAATAATCAAATATCAGAAGAATTTAGTTCACTTTGTGTACACATGGACCAAAGTACACACAAAAAATAAGAATAAATAAATAATAGCATTGAGTAAGGAAGACTTTGGAGCTCTCACACTCGCACTTTTATAATCTCTAGAGCAATTATCAAACTAAATGATGCTTATTAAATTATAACCATTTTATCAATCAATGTTTTTTTAACCAAATACTATATTCGAATAGCTAATCTTGCATTACAAGATCCGTTGGCAATGTGGGTCAAAATTTCACGATTCTTCTGTTTTGGTATACAAGTAATCCAAAAAAAAACTCCTATATGATGCTTGTTTTCACTTTCTCATTCCTTTTTTATCTCCAATTTGTTATTGAAGTCAACCTATTTATAGTATATCATACTTTGAAGCAGTCAAAGTGGCAAGTCATTCCATTTCCCAAGGTTTCAAGGTCACCAATATAAATGTTTAAATTCTATGTGCATGTATAATCAGACTTCAAATTTAATTTTAGCATCCCATAAATAAACAAACCTTAGACATGAGAAGGATATTCTTTGCATGCTCTCCCAACAACTTCCGAACTTCCACCAAGTCAGAACCTTTGCGGACAAAAGACAGTGCAATCATGTCGATCTTATTAGGAATCCCCCATTCTAGGATATCAACCTTGTCTTTCTCTGTCAAAGTTGGGAGATCCACAATCACTCCTGGGAGATTGACATTCTTTCTTTCGCCAAGAACAGCTGTGTTCTCACAGCGGCATCGAACCATACCACTTTCCTTGTCACAAGACAAAACAGTAAATGAGATTGTGCCATCTGAACAAAGTATCACGCTATGTGGTTTTACATCCTCGGCCAATTTTTTGTAGCTCATGCAAATCATGTTCTCATCACCCTTGATGCTATAATCAGTGGAGATGGTGATCTCTTCACCCTGTTTCAGTTGGATGGGCTTGCCGTCTTTCAAAAACCCAGTTCGAATCTCTGGACCCTATAGAGTCACAAAATGAAATGAACAATTAGGAAAACACATCTCTCCATAATGTAGCACTCACTCCCCTTCCCTCTTTCTTTGAGCTTTGAACCTTGATGGTCCTTTTGATCATCAGCTTTAAATTTGAATAAATGAATCTACAATTCGTACTTAATAATTAAACACTATACAAAGTTGTGGCCTACTCAAACTGAGCCAAATTTCGACCTCTTTTTTATTTTATTTTAGACACAAATTCTTAGTTGAGTTTTGAAACCGTGATTGCCTTCATGAACTGAGGATATGTTCCAATGTGCAGTAAAAGTGACATAAGATTGTTTTGAAAAGAGGTTTTTTTAGTGACTTTTTGACTTTTTACAAAAAGACATGTAAAAAATTGGAAAAAAATGTTAATTTTTTTATAGTGATTTTTTTATTTTTAGGCTATTTTAGCATGTTGCCAAAATAAGCCTTAATATGGAGTGCAAAGCAAGGATAGGGTAGAAACTCATCATCAAAAGTGGAGTCATTACTAACCAAAGGAAGCCTACTTAAGAGTGGTGATACATTTGGAATATGTTCATCATAACCTTAAACCTGAACCATGTTATTAATTAGATATAGTTGAAATGTTCCAGCTCAGTCGTGTTCCCATGAGGAAATGTTAGTTCTCATTTGAAATGCTTTATATGAACTAAGAAACATTGACATGGACACATTACACAACACATATATGACATTTTTAAAAATTACAAGACACAACACGAAATAACATGTGGGGGAAAGACCAAAAATATATGTCATTATATATTTATCATATATCATATATATATATATATATTTCATACAAAGTTAAGAAAAATATTATAACATAGCACAAATTTTTAAAATTTAAAAGAGAAAAGATTAATAAGTATAAATATAAATGACTTTTGTTTTAGTATTAGATTTTAAGTTATTTTGTACAACTTATAACATGTTTTATATGAATAAATGATGGACACGAGTCTTAAATGTATTTGACTTTAAAAAAATTTTAAATATAGTAGTGTATGTTTGAACATGTGTCCATTGATGTTGGCGTCCGAAATGTATGACTTTAAAATTTTTTAAATAGTATAATAGTGTATTTGAAAATTGAAGGTGTCGTACATAGACACAGGAACACTTGTCACACGTGTCCACTTTAGCACCAATTCTTACAAGAATAACGGTATAGAAGCTCATTTGAAATTTCAGTTAGTAATTTTTTATTTGGTTCATTGAAATGAGATGAAATGGAATGGTCTTTTTTTTTATAATAGTGAATGATAATTTTATTAATATATTTTTTAGTCAATCAAATATTGAAACAGTTATTTTGATGAAATAATTATTTTATTCTTTTCCATTCCAATAAACTACACACTACTAAGAGTAAAAATGAATGATAATCTAATTTTAATTAGTTTTGCTTTTACAATATGGGATAAGTCAAAATCTCAAATGAAAACCAATTCCCCAATTTGTCTCTCTCCAATGCAAGAGAACCATTCAGAGTAGTAGTAGTTGTTATGATGAGCACTACGTATTGCAAAAATTACAAATAGTATAGCTAAATTGAAGAAAATAGGCAATTTTAGATTGCAAATGAATACGTAAGAGCTTTTCCACCGTTAATGAAAAATGTACAGTTTTGGTGCCCATTAATATCAAATCAGTATCAAATTTAAGATTTCTTAAACTTTTCATCAAATTGGGAATAGTTGGAGTTTTTCATCAAATTATTATAGATAGACATTGGAATCATGCACCTGAACTGGCCATTGTCTGGCCAGTTGTCCTTCCGGATAACCTCTTCCTTATTTCACACTGTCCATAAATTTACACTAACCGATCGACCAGCCGGACATCTCCCAGTGACCCGTGATATGATAAAAAATGAAAAAATTTCATTAGAACACTCGATATAGATGAAATTTTTACTCAAATTTGATATATACATATTTAAAAAAAAAAAAAAAGTAACCAAAAAAAATATGAAAACCAATCTAAAAGGACAGACAAGTGGGTCATGAGTGTCATCATGTGAAAAGAAAGAGTCAAAATCTCCAAAATATGAAAGCCAAAACAGCAAGAAAAAAAAAGGGGGGTTGTAAGTAGAAACAGATCCAAAATGAAATTGAATGCGGATGGGAGAAAACGAAACAATTTTAGCAGATGAAATGAGACTGAATGCGGACGAGAGAAAACAAAACAATTTTAGCAGATGAAAAAAAGAGATCGAAGAGAGAGAGAGAGACCTTGGTATCGAGCATGACAGCACAGAGGATGCCAGTATTGTCCATGGCAGAGCGGAGATTGTCGAGGGTTTCCTTGTGGTAATCATGAGAGCCATGGGAGAAGTTGAAGCGAGCGACATTCATTCCAGCCCTCAGAAGCTTCTCTACCATCGCCACTGACCTCGAAGCTGGCCCCAGCGTACACACTATCTTCGTCTTCGACCTCTTCTCTCCTTCCATTTCTTCTCTCTCTCTCTCTCACGGCTCTCAACTCAAGATCAAGATTTGCAGGAAGGATTGATCAATTTCAATACACACACTCATACACCATACCATACTATACCATACCATACCCACACTCAATCGATCGATCCATCTAAAAATACACAAACACACACACACCGCATATAAAGGAAAGGAAACTGTTTTCCGATCGTCAAACAAGGCTCCGATTTACCAAATCAAATGAAAACACCGCATCCGCATATAAAGGAAAATTATAAATATATAATTCAAGCTTCACCCTTCAACCAATTAAATTTCATATTTTTAGTTTCTTTAATTTAAACATTGGTATTTTAAAAATATTATTCCTTTAGAAATACAATACTCAAAAGGTATTCATATATTATTAACAAATTTAATTACTTCAATTATTTCAAAATTTAATGAAAAACTAATAAATAAAAGAGGACTTACGTGTAGGTTCTATGTCACGACCCCAAACCGCCCCTAGTAGTTTAGTGCCGTGATGGCCAGTAACCCGAGATTACCGAAAGCCAACTTTCAAAATTCACACACAAACAGAGTATAAATATATATGGGGCTCACAAGTGCGGAAGCAATAATTTTAAAGTACAAGTGGTCCATAAGAGCAGTGCGTAAGTTACATGGAATAGCATACAACTTTACATAATATTACAACTTGAATACAAATACAAAATACAATTTACATCTTGATCAAAAGGCTTCTCCAGCCGACATGTGTAAATTACAGACATTATAAGCCGAGAAGCATAGTTTTCAAGACTGCCGACGTGTATGCAAGTTAAGCCGGCATAACAAAACCCAAAACAGCTTGCGAGTCACACTTAGGCGTCACCGCCTTCCTGCTCATCACCTACATATATATAGAGAGGGTGAGCTTGGATACTCAGTGAATGGTATAAGAAATAAAGGGGTTTGCATGACTGGTATTCGAGATCTTTATCAAGCAATACATAACATAGTTGTTACAAGCCAAGGAATGAATCAAGTCTATCTTCCAAATCTATCAAGTTTCAAAGGATGCTTACTAACATCATTATAATACAAGTGATGACATCTCGGCAAACAAGACACACGCGGTAAACCGTCCGTGGCAAACATGACAAGACAAGGCAAGACAAGGGAGATATCTCAGTTCAATGGTGTCGTTGCATTATAGTCCCCAAACACTAAGGACTTGTGCTACTAATGCTTATAGTCCCTTAGCACGTACGGACTTCTAAACTTTGTGCTACAAGTGCTTATAGTCCCTTAGCACGTACGGACTTTCTAAACTTTGTGCTACAAGTGCTTATAGTCCCTTAGCACGTACGGACTTTCCAAGAATGTCATCAAAACAAGATATGTATATATTTTCTAATTAGGAATAACCATTCATGCTTACAAATACTTTTCAAAACGAAGCAAAGCAAGACTTTATCAAAGCATTATAACATAACTTTATTAAAAATACCACTCACTTAGTCCTTCAAACGTCGGGGTTGAGGCAAGTCCAAACCCTACAAACACATGGCAAGGTCGGTTGAATGCACTTTCAAACAAGTTTCACATGCATGCAGATGATCTCGGTATTCCTCAAGGCTAAGTCAAATCGAAACAAGCACAATTCTTTATATCGGGAAAACATGCTGGGCGACTACCAGGTCTAGGCCGAGGTTCCACACCTCCTTGTCGAGGTGTTGCCTCGATGGCCACATTCAACGGAATGAAGTCGGGAAAAATATGGGTTTCCCTTTCTTGAAGAACATGATGAACATGGAGGACATGAACATGAGGATGATGAATGCAAAGATCGTGATTTGCTATTACAAAATCTGAGATTTCATGCTATGAGTTCAAAAACATGGACCTGGGTACCCATATTCAAGGATCTAGTGAGAACAAACACAGACACGAAGCTTAATGCAAACTTTCAGATTAAACAAGACCTTTCTTTCAAGAACACATGAACACCATTTTCTCTTTCTAAAACCAACTTTAAATCGATGCATGACATGCAAAACGGGTTCGATCATGCAATACAGCTAGATGATCAATAAGAAAGACTAGAGTAGATCAAGAATCTAACCTCAATACGCGAATTTAATGGTTTGATCTCTAGGAATCAAGCTCGAAACCCACTCTCTCACTCTAAACTTCTTCTTCTTCTTCTAGAGCTTCTCTCTCCTCACAACCAAAGACATGTAGCAAAATGATTCATTTCTAAGTCTGTTGGCTGACTTAACCCTCTACAGAGGCATGTGGCAGCGGCTGGTTGGTGCTAAACAAAAAGGTGACTGAGTGACAAGACAAAACTATGACAAAGTGTGTTCAACAAGCAAGACGGCATGGGCACTCTAGCGAGTAAGGACCTCGGCTAATAACAAGACATAGGCAAGTAGGGAATGATGACCTCAGCTAGGAAGGACAACACTTGACTAAGCTGTGCCACACCTTGGCCTAGATGTGCCACACCTCGGTCTAGGTCATACCACTCCGGGACAAGATCACTTGGGTGCAAAGGTAACATCTCGGCCTAGATGATTCACACCTTGGCCTTGGTGATGAACACCTCGGCCTAGGTAATGACATCTCGGCCAATATATCAGGGCAATGGTGGAGGTCAAACAAAGCGGTTCCAAGATAACTGAAAATGACCTCGGCTAAACTCACACCAAGCAAGATACAAAACATGTTGTAACACTTAAACAAACAAGGACAAGACTCGAAATGCAAGTTTACAAGACAAAATCACATGAATGCATATGAGTATGGTGAGGATAGCATGAGGGCTATTACATTCTAATAGGTGGACTTATTATCCAATATATTTTATGATAATTAATGATATTTTTCATCAAGTATTATTAAAAAAATGTGACTGATTGTTAATTTTCAATGGCTATTCGAAAATTGTGTCACAAAATCACTAATTATAAATTTTAGTGACAATTTTAAAAAAATCGTCACAAAAAAGTCATTAATTTTTAACTTTCAGCGACAGTTTTAAAAATTTGTCATAGAAAAACGTTATTAATTGTAAGTTTTAGCGACAATTTATAAAAATTGTGACAAAAAAGTAATAATTGCCAATTTTTAACAACATATGCAAAAAATATCACAAAAAATTATTTTTAACGACAATTTTACTAGAACATGTTTTTAATAGGACTTGATAAGAATTAAATGTAACTATTAGGACCTATTGGTAGTTACCCTAAATAAAATCTGTTTTAAGTAAATTATAAAAGTTCAAAATTTCTTATCGTTAAAGAAAATTTTCAAAATTATGGAATTATAAAAATTTAGGGGTTCGATTCAAAAGTCCATATTCGAATTTCTTTTGTCTAAAGGTTGATGCTCTATTTTATTATGTCCACAAGGACAAGATAGTAGGAAATGACCAAAATACCCATTAGTATTACGTATTCTTACAATTTATCTATTGAATTGAATCCATTACCAAAGGAAAATTCTATTTCCATACACCAACTTATCTCAATATACACGTTTAATAAAATTTTATTTTAATGATAGTTATATCTTAAAATAAAATGACCATAATAAACATATAAACGTAGCCAAATTTCAGAGCGTGTAAAAGAATAGAGTGTGTAAAAGCTACCTTTCAGTCTCTCTGTCTAAATCAGTTTGCCTCGCCAAAAATTCCCCGAAGTTCCGTAACTCTTACCATTCACTCCAACTGAAAAAACAAAAGTGTGTTTGTTCCTTAAATCTCTACTACACACACCACACGATCGTTGATTTTCAGTTTTGTTATTTGATTCTCTGTTTCTTTTTGTTATATCTCTCTCTCTCTCTGTTCCCTGTTTTCTTAGCAACCAAACAAAAGATTTTCAATACCCTTTACTTCTTCTGCTTTGGTCTGAAAATTAGAGAGAAAGAATAGCATTTCTTTTGGAAATTCATGTGGTAATAGATATATATTTATTATTCTCTTCTGTGCTGTTTGTTTGGTCTCTAAGAAAATATAAGAACTAGATGTACACTGGAATTTATTGGTTTTGTTTATTTGGTTTCGAGATAACTTCTTCTTTTTTTTTTAATTTTTAGATCACATTTATTGTGGCTTAATTTAACTAATTTAGGAAATTCATTTTCATTCCACTTTTCTCTATTTCTCAGCAATCAAACAGAGGGTTAGGTTTTAAATTCGATGGTAAGACTTCTTCTTTCTACCACCAACAACAAACTCTCCACTTCTCTTATGCTTTGCTCTCCTTCTTCTCCTCTGTCGCCTTGTCTTTCCTCTGCTTCATTTTCGCGCATCTCTCTCTTCTCCCTTTCTCGGTATCTTTCTCTTGCGAGTCTATCCCTCTCCAACATCATCCTCCTATTTTATCTCTCTAAAAACTGTTGATTAACATGAGGGGTTTTGCTTCAAAACTTCCAAAGCAACACCAGAAATGCCCAATTGGAAGGTATCAATTGGAATTATGAACCAACTTACAAACAGATTTACATGATTTCAAGACTAACCCACATCAAATCCAATAGAGAAAAAGTGTGAGAAACACATTTCAAACAAAACCCATGAGACAAAACAAACAATTCTCAACAACCCAAGTGAAAAAAGGTCCCGAGCAAAAAAGCCAAAATGAAACAGATTTGGCGAAGAGGAGCCTGAAAGGTGCCAGCGGCATGGTGGTCGGAATCCACTGGGTCTTATGTTCTTCTCTCCGGAGGCTGTGTGGGTGTGTATGTTTAGGTAGGAAGTGTGTGTACAATATTTGAATTAAGAGTTATAATTAAAATATCTACAGTGTGGAATGAGATAAATAATAGCTAATTAAATTTATAAGTGTGTACATTGAGAAATAATATGTAATGAAATAAATAAGGATGTGGACATAGAATTTTCCATAAAACCCAACATCTCTCTTTCTCTCTCTTCTCTCTAGAAACCACTGACATACACTACTCTCTCTCTTTCTCTAAAAACCACTGACATCCACTACTACCACTAGCACTGACATACACTACTCTCTCTCTTTCTCTAAAAACCACTGACATCCACTACTACCACTAGCATGGTTGGCTTCATTGGAGCATGTGTCAATGGCGCTCAAGCATTGCGCCGTCGTCGACTGCATACCACATTACAGGCGATGAAACCTCCTCCATCGCCCGCCGTTGCCGCCGCCGAAGGCTTGTACAATAACAAAGAGATCGATCTTAGTCTACAATCTCATTTGGCAGATCTCTCTCTCTCTCTTTCTCTCTCTCGTCGTTTCCGTTTCGATCTCTT